CTCCTCACTTGACGTGCTACTGCTTAAAAAAAAGTCTCATTTCCAGAGCTGATAAATATAAAATGAAGTGGATACATTATATTTACCATCAACCTCGCCAAAACAGGGAACATCCTTCTCAATCACACTGAACAAATACGGCAAATGTATGGTGTAATGTGTACCACTTACAACAAGAACTTAGCCATAATGTAAGTTATTTAATGCACTAAAATTCAACAAAAGTTTCATGCATGCATACCCACAGATGCCCACTATGCAGGAAGCAAATTTTAACAAACTAAAACAAATTACTGATAAACAAGTCTCTGTAAATGTAAGTCTGAGAGACACTCATGTAGACAGAATGGACAAACAGTACAATAATTTTAAAACTAATAAAGAGTACAGTATTTATATTCTAAAGTCCAAGAAACCATCAACACTAATTGTAGAAAGTCATCATCAGTACCCTTTAGCATTGTTGAACTGGAAACATTAATTTTTGCAGTTTTGTTTTTAATTCCATTCTTACATGTCTGCTAGTTGATATTGGTGAAATCTGGTAATGGATAATGCACAGCTGCATATGCATACACACAAAGAAAGATAAACTGTTTTTCATTTCCTGAACTTCTAGGATTTACTTCCTATACCTTGGCACCACAGAGTTTCTCTTGGAAAATGGATCCTACCTTGAGTCATCAGACGAAGTTGAATCATCAGAGTCTGACTGACTGTCATCAGAACCAGCACCTGGTTCTTGCCTCTCATTAGGCTTCATTGGACCATACAGAACAGTATTAAGCGGGAAATATCGCAGCTCTGTTGGAGTATAGCTGTAAAATATTCAATACAAAGCAACTCATCATACATAATTGGTAAGTACAAGAACTTATAATTCCAGTATGGCTCTTGCAAATTTTAAAGCACAGCTTAATATTTCATTTACCCTCACCTCTTATAGAAATCTGTATACTGGCCAGGGATAAGTGACAGAGGATATGGACCTGGTTTAGTTGACTTTTTGGCAACAGTTTTAGCAAGTCTGGTGCGAGGATAATGGATGGTGAAGCTTTGAAGATCAAAACAGCATTGGCGCTGATCTCTACGTGACTGGTTGAAAGTTGAATTCCATGCAGCAGCTGACCTAACAGCTCTGTCCTTGTAATCCAATTTGTTTTTCTCAATACTTGTTGCAGCCGAGATGGCTGAAATGAGATGAAAGAAAATTATTTATGTAAAGGATATCAAAGCAATAACAGCAAATCACCCAATAGCAGGAACAGAGCCATGGGCAGAGTCTTATATATTATTATATAATAAATCAATCCCTGTTCCAAACCTTTTTAAAATCAATCAATACCTTTCTGCTTGGTCGTAAATTCCTTGGCTTGACGCTCCCTCATAAAGCGACGATACTCTTCATATTTCTGCTGGAAGTCTGAATACATTATATCCAGAATTTCTGCACTGTTCACTGCTGTCAGTCCTTCAGAACAAGACAAAGTATTATAGAGGATACACCTTGAAAACTATTTCACCAAAAAAGATTACCTTTACAACACTCAAACCAATTAGGACTAGTACAAAATGGCCACACAACAAAATCTTTAGTCTTTGCACAACTTACTGACCTTGTAAGACTCATATAAAGATTAATTTTGATCTAAATGGGGTCATGCTGACAATTACAGGCAATATTAATTGATGATTATGTTATTTAGCAGTGTTATTTCAACTGTACAGGTTAAAGCACTGAATAGATGTTAGCTTCTGAATACAAGTCAACAGAGTTAATGCTGCACCAACAATGTCTACTTTGAAATAAGATCACAACAGATATGAAAACATAACTACCTAAGTCACACATTGACTCTGTAACAAGACCTTTCTCTCTTAGATATTTCTTCTCTTCAGCTTCCACAGTGCGTCGTTTCAAGTTAGGATATTTTCTCTTGAAAGATTTTACTCCTAAATATTCTGAGATCTGTTCCTGTATCATCAGGTTCTCTCCACCCTTACCTGGTGGCCATCGGTACTCAGTCACCTGCTCGACTGTGAATTCCTTTCTGTTGATGTAACAAAAGAAAACAAAGTTGCATTTGAGGTTTTCATGGTAGTGAGTCTGAAGATGGCTGTCTTCTAGATTGTTGCACTGTGTAGTCTGGTATAAGCTTACTGACATTTCAGCAGTCCTTGATGCCTCATCACCTTAATGATAGAGGCAGCAAGGACTTCTGAAATGTCAGTAAATTTCTACCAGATTACAAGGTGCAACAACCCAGAAGATGGCCATCAAAATAAAAATCTTTTACATAAAACATAAAATAAAAAAGCTACGCACTTTTCATTATTCAAGCATTACCTTGGACTTAGGACGCTATCTAGATACTCATATTTTTAAAACTATCAGTACAAAGTAATATGGACACATTTTATCAACAGAGTTCTTCATATAGAAGTTCTGCAATATAAAATACATTATTAGCAGAGGTTATACTCTACATGATTTAACACCACATAAGAAAATTTAAATGTGAATGTATCAGTATCAGTGACCTTTGAAACTGGAAGTGTATCCAACAAGGACAGTGAACTCTCCACTAAATGTTTCTGGATTTGCATACAATTTCTATGGTTTCAGACCATTACTTTAATGTCAAATCTCCTCTGTTACAATTTCCATGGCTCCAAACTACTCAGTATTAAAACCCCTCCTTTTATGGTGTTCCTCAGCTTAGTGTTCAAATCAATTTTTTTTCCAGAGAATTTTAATGCACAGCAATCTTTCATGAATTGCAATTTTGCCAATCATGGATTTCAAGTTCATGGCTTTTCATTTGTGCGGACAAAATCAGTTAATTCTGCATCAATAGATTACATCTCCTGGATACAGAGTTGTAATGACACTGTAGGGCACTGAACTTTCCAGCTGTTATGTTCTTCAGGAACGTAACCCTTCAATTAGCAAGGGTCTAATGTACTTCTTTCTGAAAATATTTAATGCATCTAAATTCTGCAGTAGAAGCCAAAATGAAACCAAGACCAATTCAGACACTGTAAAAGATGGAATACATATGTGACCTTGAGTGCCTATAATATTGCAGTGAAAATGATCTAAACTGATTTGATTTTTTTATATTTTGCCGAAGTTCCACTACCTTTCTCCATCTCCAACTTCAATGCGTCCCTTCTTTTTCATGCTCTCAGTTGCTGCTGTGCTAATTGCACTACCTTGTGATTCTTCACCTGGTCTATCAGTTCCAACTGCAACAGCATACATTCACATAGGTTAATTATATACACTTCCACTTGTTTCCACATTTATCATCCTATAACTGTCTCTCTCAAACTCTACCAAGGAAAATAAACAAAGCTACAAACTACATGTTGGATTAAAAAAATATTTATATAAGCAGCCTTACACTTTCCACCAATAACTACAACAGTAACACTAACATTCCACCTGAACACAATTTAAATGAGATGGAAACAAAACCTTTCATTTTAAATCACTTAGTTCTGCTAACAACTAACAGCATTGTACCCATACCTGGGGGAGGTAATGTCTGTGAGTGGCTACCACCTTCTACACTCATTCCTGTTTCTTCTTCAAATACCTGAACAGTGCCATCATCTGATGTAGGATATGATGAGGGTAAGCCAGTGGTAATTTTAGGAGTTAACAGCATATCTGTTGGAGCTACTTGCAACCTCACTTTAACAGATGTTTCAACTGAAACTGATGCAGGGGGTGTTTTTGCTGAAGTAGTTGAAATGGGATGTACACGAGCATAAACAGGTTTTACAGGTTTATTAGGAGTAGATGAAGTGGCAATTAAACGAGATGGTAGTTTGGTTGGAACAGCTGAAGTAGGTTTGGCTGTTGGAGACAACTTTTCCGTTGATATGACAAAAACATCAGCTGGGTGAAGAAATTCAGAAGCTGGTTTTATTTCTTCAACCTTCTTCTTACGCCCAGGTGCTGAAAAGTAATATATACAATTTGTCTTAAATGTTAAGAATTTAACCTCAACAAATAAATAACATAATTTATTTTGAATAGATCCGTGTAACTGACTGGAACTGTACAAGTGGGTAAACGTTCTTCATAACAGCCAGAGCGGTGTTTCACTCACAGCTCTGAGATTAAATTAAATGGGTGATATATTGTTCTGACATACACATTAGGGACTGAATTCAGGTGGCTCTACTCCAGTGCTTTCAGCTACTTACCCTTTCCTACTCTTGGTTTCCTCACTTTGACTACCACTGGTGGTCTCTCTCTTCCTCTGCACATTCTCTTGGGTCGTAATACCTGCTCTAGAGGGGGTTCTATTACAGGTACAACAGCAGGGACCAAAGCTGTTTTCCTTGGACGTCCACGTCCCTTCTTTGGTTCTGTCTTCACCACTTCATTTTCAACAGATTTCACTTCTGGTGATTCCTTCTTTATATGATAGTCAGGTACAATCATCTCAACATCTACAATTTTTTCGGCAGTCACTTCAAGTGAACTATTGGGCTGGTTTTCTCCCTTAATGATCATCACATCCTGGAAATGTG